GTAATCAGCCAGTTTTTTTTTTCTTTTTTTCCCGTTCTGTGCACAGAAAAATGCAGGTGAGCCATTACTCGCTCTGCCACGGTTCCGCTACGGGAGAGTGCGACCTGGTCAACTGGGTATGCGAGGGCTACGACTCGACAATCAAAATGTGAGAAAAAAAAATGGAAGCGCTTTCTCTGTATGCCTGTGATCCAGAAACATGAAACGTATACTTCTCAAGTGACACACACATCTTAATTTTTTGTTCTCTTCGGTGTGTGGTTTTTCATTCTGTGGTATGTACCGCCATAGTCTCGGAGTGGTCTCATGACCGCGGAGATTTTTTTTTTCTGGGAATGCAGTACATTGGAAGACAACCGGTGAGGAGGTACGGGATACAAGCCAATGCAAGGGCAAGAAGTCCCCGACAAAAACGCTTGTTGGAAGGCTGCCATGGATCGACTGTGCTAGGCTCGGTCATCCCCGTCGGGTGTCGTGCATGCCGCCTCTACATGTCGCATGGCACGTGCGACTGCGTCCTGAAACGGCGTGTTCCTTGTAGTGATTCGCGTCGTACCCGTTTTCGTCCCTTCGTGCTGAACGGAACTTGTTCCGTGGTTATACAGAAATATCCATCCCTCTCCCTAACCCCCCCCCCCCCCCCCCCCCCCNCCCCCCCCCCCCCATTGGATCACTAGTGATACCATGAGCGGTTCGCGGCTGCGCTGTGTTTAGCTTGTAGACCCTTCGGGTCCATTTTTTTTAGTACCTCTTAGAGGTAAGTAATCAACTGCGCCAAGTGGTAGATCAGTGCGGACAGCTGGAGGTACTGAATGTAAGGAGATCGGAACGGTTGTTAATGTGGAGATGACAACAACCGCGATGCGTTGTCGGCTTGATGGTTTTTCTCATGTCGCCAGGTGGGTCATCGTGACACAGGACGTGAGGAACTCCCCTCCGTTCTTGAAGTCGCCGTACGGGGTGGGCACGTGGAAGGTGGACACGATGGAGAAGGCCTTCCGGTTCATAAGGCTAAGGAGCACCGGAATCAACGGAAGGTGTGTGGTGCACTACACTACACATGCCTCTTTTTTTCTGTCTCTCTCTCCCTCTCTCTCTCTCTTGTCTCTCTCCTTCTCTGTTCACCCT